GTCTTCTATGTGCCTTTGCCACATAGTTCCAATTGTTTGATCATTTAGCCAAGGTCCCTCAAATAAGAACTCCTTTGCTATTGATTCTAAGCCAGATTCACTGCTCAAAAAGACACAAAAAAGGCAAATTTGCTTCAGTAATGCCCCCCCATCTTCAGCTTAATCAGTGAAGTTTATTTTCTTGAACATTACTGAACAAAATTAATACACAGCTGTCCACATTTCTACTTCTAGTTAAATATTATGTAAAACTAAATCCCAACTGACAATATTTTAAGGAAGTTAAATATCAGTCATTAGCTGGGGAGGGGACAGGTAGATAAGAATAACGACCCCAGAGTAATTCCACTGGTTCTTTATTTGTTACCAGGTTCAATGTTTGGCTATGTATGGTCAATACAAGAAAGCAAGTGCTCCCTTTCTAAAAGATTTACAGAAAGTCTCAACAGTACATCCTTAGTCCATAAAATAGTGATTCTGATACCTAGGAAATAAGTGACATTTGGACAAAATGAGCAGTTTGACAATGTTCTACTTAACAAGTGTGATCTAAGTATTAGAAAGAAAATGGGGGTACAGGGTTGCCCATATAAAACGGCCTGAGTTGACAAAGACATTTCCCTTTCTTTGTCAGCAATCACGGCTGCACCTAGTATCTCAGGGGAACAGGACAGTAATTCTTTTTCAGACTTTTTGTCTCTTAAATGAACTTTTCTTCTAGGGCTGTGCACACAAGCTGCTTCACTTTTTAACGGGTGCAGGTTCATATGTCAATACGATTTTGCCAAGGGATATACCACCAGGCCTTATGAAGGGAATCAACTCTAACAAACACCCAGGAAGAGAGTGCTCCAACTTGTTTGGAGGCTTTCAGGAGGGGCTGCAGGTAGGGCGGCAGGCGTGTGCGACCTGCACAGCTGCACATGGGAAGTGTGTTTCCCTGTGACTGAGTGCTCAGTGGAGCTGACTACCCTGAGGGGCCACACTTTCCTTCTAAACCAGAACCTGCTTTGAATGCAGAAGGAAAACAGTAGCGCCCTGAGAAACATGAACGACCAAGGAACCCTATTGCTTCTTTCTCAGTGGTGTTACTTCCCTGTATTAGCCAATCACTCCGAAAATGATGACACAGAAGGGAAGGAAAAATCAGGGTGACTCATGGTCTCTTTTCCAGTCCATCCTTCCTTACTCATCAATAAAGTGATGGTAGACAGTGCTGGTAGAATATGTGCACATGAAAGAGTGAAATACTAAGTTTTATGTGATGTTCACACTCTCCTGGTAAGAGCAAAATATATACACATGCATGAGCTATGAAATATGAATTGCATAATTTTGGTGATTCCATATATGAGCTAAATATTCATATATCTGCATATTAACCTGGAATATTGTGTGAGCTCAGAAGCTAAGCAGGGTCATGTCTGGTTAGTACTTGGATGCAAGAACGGTGATAACATTAATGCTAATAATGAGATCGCACAAGGGTTAGGCATGTTCAGAGTGATGTGGCCATAGACATATCACTCTTCTTTATATTGTACAATTCCAAGTTAATATATTTCAGTACCTTTAAGGGTACTTTTTCCTGATTTTTGAAAAAGGGGCCCCACATTTTCATTCTGCATTGGTACCCTCAGGTTATGTAGCTGGTCCAGGTTCTTTTTAGTTGTGTTGAAGGTATTGCTGATCTCCTTAGCCCTTGGGGGGCTTGCACAGGCTTGGGGTGGTGAGGCCTATACTCCCTTCCTACCTATTGCACCTGGCATCAGGCAGCCGTGGGTTTAATGCCAGGATGCTGCACTAAGATGAAAACTTTCAAGGTGAGCATGAGCAGAGTGAGTCAGGGAAGCTGAGCTTCCCTGGGGATCAACCGTAACACCATCTCTGCTGGAATCTAGCTCTCGGGCCCATCACAGGCACCCTCATGGACTTGAACATGCCTACAGCCCTGAAGAGACACAAGCTTACCACTGGAGAACACTCTGAAATGCCACTCCTGCTCTCTGAGGACAGCTTCCCTTGAACCCCTCCAATCTCAGCCTAAATGCTCGCTCCTCAGAGGCCTTAACTTCTCTTAATTCGCTTATGTATTTATTAGTGTGTTTCACTTCTCTGTGAAGCACATGGGCATGAACCTGGTCTACCTTGCCCCCTGCTGTAGCCCTAGCTCTTAGCACTAGACCTGGAGGATAGTGACTCCATAGTAACTGTTTGGTAAATGAATAAATGTAATCAGACATCCATAGTTAGGATTTGTTAGGTTATTCAAATTTTCTAAATTCAAATCTAAGATTTATCTCAATGTGGCAGCAAATTCTAGACATCAGGTAATCAGGTATGACATAATCAAATGAGTTTAGACTTTTGCCAAAGCATGTTGACCTGGATGTTTTAACAATTAATTATTAATAGCTTAGGCAGGCACATAGATATAGAAAGAGTTTTAAAAATTAGCAATTAGTAATTTTTTAAAGAACAAAAATATTTTTTAAATTCTCCCTTTTTTCATATTTTTTCCTTTTTGCTCATTTTCTCTTCTTATGATATCCCTCATTTCTGGCCTGAATATTAGCCCTTCTGCAGACAAAAATTAAAGAATAGTTAAATGACTGCAAAGTTTTTAATGTATAACATTTCATTTTTGTTTTCAACAATTTACTTGAATAGCACCAATTAAATCTTCTCAAAGAATAATATTTGAAATTTTTATAATGATCAACATAGTAGGTTTTGTTACTTTCTTTTTCCTAATTTCTCTACTGAGTTGTCCTCTGCGATGTCAAGTTGGCTGTTTTATGGTTTAGAGCTGCAGTCCCCAGCCCCTGGGCCATGGACTAGTACCCATCCATGGCTTGTTAGGAACTGGGCCGCACAGCAGAAGGTGAGAGGCAGGTGAGTGAGTGAAGCTCCATCTGTATTTACAGCCACTCCCCATCGCTTGCATCACCGTATAAGTTCCACCTCCTGTCAGATCAGCAGTGGCATTAGATTCTCATAGGAGTGAGAACCCTACTGTAAACCATATGCGATGGATCTAGGTTGCATGCTCCTTATGAGAATCTAATGCCTGATGATCTGAGGTGGAGCTGAGGCGGTGATGCTAGCACTGGGGAGAGACTGCAAATACAGATTATCATTAGCAGACAGGTCTGACTGCACAATAAATGTAATGCGCTTGAATCATCCTGAAATCATCCTCCACCCTGCTCCGTGGAAAAACTGTCTTCCATGAAACCCATCCCCGGTGCCAAAAAGGTTGGGGACCACTGGTTTAGAGTATATTTACTAGCCCACATTACCATCAGAGCCCTGGCTGGTATCCACATTAGTCCTGATGTAATTCCTTAAACAATTTTTGAAGTGATGCTGAATACTATCCTTTGAACTTTCTAAAATATTGTTTTCCCTAAACCTGATTACTCCAATGGTTCCATATTAATTCTTATTTGAGAAAGCAGTGTCAACAAAATAACAAAGAAAGTATTTTATAATGAGAAGTTCAATAAGTGAAGAAGGTGATGTGACAAAAATCATAACAGATTAATATAAAATAGAATTTTCTTATTTGCAAAATAATACTTTTTTGTTGCCTTGGTCCATTATACTTGACTGACGAGTGTCCAGCTTGTCCTAGTTGACATGCAAACTGACAAGCCAATCACCAAATAGGTCTTTCTCATTTCTGCCAAGAAGCTCTTTTTAACAGCATGTGAAATGAAAACTCCATGATCAAGGCTGAATCAACACCAGCCATAAGATTAAGTCTACAGTGTTGCAGAAATCACTGCAGAGAATGCCATCTCCAAAACACTCACCCCCAACCTGGACAAAGCACGAGAGAGTACACTGAAGGGAATATGTTGCCCTGGCTCCCAGGGGAGGGACCAGATGGGACCTAATAGCTCTTTTCTACTACTAATTTCTATGATAATTCTAAGTTGCCACATGGCATATGTATTTTTTTTTTTTTTTAAATCTAAGGGCAGAATATCAGTCAATGAAGTGACCGGGATTTTAATGAAAGGTATTTTTCATGAACTGTATCTATTCACACAGTACATTTCTCACTCACCCCCACCCCTACTGCTAGCACCACATCACTTACTATTAGGTTGGGAGAAGTATATGTAAAGAGGTCAAACACAATACATTTTTAATCATTATCAATACCAGTCATAAACAAAGAGATTCTAAATATTATCAGGAGGTCAGATATTTTTTGCAGCAATTTTATGAAGTCACTCACCTTAATCCCTTTTTCTTATAATTTGAGGTCATGCTTGGATTTAAGGATTACAGCATGCCAATTAATGTTTGAGAACAAAATTACAAAAGTGAAATTTCTTTTATTTTTAGAAATAAAATCAAGAACTAGAGAAAGAAAAATTAATGATTTGGGGAAATAACAAAAGAATTTCTAGCTATTCTTACTGTTGAGTCCAAATACAACTTTGTTCAGAATGCCTTTCCCTCTCTTCCCAACCAGATGCAATTTCTCTCTCCTCTGACCTTCCAGGACTCTATTTGCACTTCTCAGGTGGCACTTGCCACATTCTTTGATTTATTAGAGTCATTTCATTTGCTTCTAGTTTCTGGATGGCGCCCTGAATGAGACTATTACATTTTGCTCAGCATTCTACCTTATACACGATGGACTGCAATAAATAGGGAGGATACAGGAAGAGAATGAATTTGGCGAAAACTACCTAAGGAGACACGAGCATCTCACGATAATCACAGCTTCACAGACACCAACTTATGTGTGCAAATTATAAAAATAAATTCTTCTTAAAAGTTCAATGCGGCACAAAATTATTGCATTTAATAAAAATTAACAAATGGTATGAAAATCACATTATGTTATTGTCAACATAGATTGAAAAAAATTCTTTCTTCCCTCTTCAACTTAGGTTTTAATACTTACCTCTGATGAAAAACTGACAGGACTCTTGATTCTGGCATGGTTAATAAGTTACGTATTTAAAGCAAAAAGATACAAGCTCTGGTAGAGTGGGATGAGGCACTTCACAGCCCTGCTGGCGTTGATGCAAGTGGCACATATAAGGCTTGGCAGCAGCTTCCCACTCACTATGGCTCCATCAAACAGAGGCCCAAAAAACGGAACCTGTTGATTCAAAATGGAAAAACACTTAATTTTCAAAAGTGAGTAAAAGTCAAATCAAAGCTGTGAGAACAGCTGACTGATGTCTGAGACCTGAAATGTATACAAGGCTGTCATTCACAAAGCAGTTTCCCTTAATAGGACACAGGTCAAGGACTTTCAAGCGAAGCAGGATTTCTCCACCATGCCTCTCTACTAGGAACTCTCCAGCGAAACTTTCAATGATCAATTATCACCAGGTTATTCTTGTTTTTTTCTTCTGTTATTATCTAAAGAAATGGCATTACTCTTTTTAAGTGCTTACGACATGTAGATTATGCATGGTACACAGATACGCTTCACTGCACAGCACCAGCCTTGCTTTCTCCTGATACCAGTTTTGGAATTGGAAATGTTCCTGCCATGGCTCCTGATGCACATCATCTCCTAAAGGAGATGATGACTTTCCTCATCAACAACCACCAGGTCTTATTTATAGTCCTCATTCTTCTTGAACTTTTACCCCTCTGCTTCTAAGATGCTAAGTTATTCTTATTTCCTTCTACTTCCTTAATAGAGAATTGGCTTTCCTTAGCCGTTTCTGCCATGGGGGCAACCCACAAAGTTTTTGTGCCTGTTTTGGATTTCTTTCTTTGCTTTCATACTTTTTTGCCCCATTAGGATTTCATTAACTCCATTCACTGATATGAAGATTGTAAGCTCCAAGACTGGGTCTGCCTTGTAACTGTTATGTTCATTCACTTTTTCACTCATTTATTTATTCAAGAATATGCATTATTGTGATAGATGCTGTTCTATTCACTGGTCCGGGACATGGCAGTGAATAATACAAAAAGCCCTGATTTCATTGACCTTAAGGTTTCTTGGAGCTTTAAGAGAATAAACAGTATAAACATATAAAATAAATGACAGGTAGTAAAAGTGCTAAGGTGAAAAATAAAGCAGGGTAGAATTTTTTTTTTTTTTTTTGGTGTGTGTGGGAGGTCTCTAATTTAATCAAATAACCAGGGAGCACTTTAAGGAGAAGATAACATTTCAGTAAAGACCTAAAGGAAGTGAAGGAATGAACCACAGGCTTTGAGAACATCTGATGGAAGAAATTCCAAGCAAAGGAACAGCAAATGCATAGCGCTTGTGGGGGGGGAGTAGAATTAGTATGTTTATGCAAGAGCAAGGAAGCCACAGTGGCTGGAGCCAAGTGAGTGAAAGAAAGAATGGAAGGAGATAAAGTTGGACAGGTGACAAGAGTGGGCTTGTAGGAAATTTTAGGGTTCTGGATTTCTACTCTGAGCAAGACAGAAACCACTTGGAGGGTTTAGGGAAGTAGAGGATATGATCTAACCTACATTTTAAAGGTACTGTTCTGGCCCCTGTGTTGGGAAAACTACATAGGGGAATTACTGACACCAGCTGGGGAACTACTGAATAATTCCACGAGATGATGACGGCTTGGATCAGAATGGTAGCAGGGGAAGTGGGGAAAGGTGGTGGGTTTCTGACTATATTTTGAGGGCAGAGTTGACAGGATTTGTTGAGGATTGTTAATGAAGTGGGAAAGAGAGAGATTTCAAGGATGATGCCATAGTTTCTGGTTTGGCAATTGGAAGGCTGGGGCTACTTTTTCCTAAAGTGGAGAAGACTGAGTGGGAGGCTCATTAGTTCAATTTTAGACGTGCTGAGTTACAGATGGCTATTAGGTACCCACCAATGATGTATTGAGGAGTGGAGCAGATATACCAGGCTGGAAGTTAGAGGAGCGGCCTGGGCTAGCAATGTAAATGTAAGAGTCATTCATTTATAGATGGTGTATCTAGCCATGAGATTAGATGACATCACTAAGAGAGCAAGAGAAGTGGCTCAAGGACTATACCCTCTGGCTCTCCAATGTTCAGAGGTTGGAGACATGAAAAACAATTAGAAGAGAAGACTGAGAAGGAATGGCTAGAGATGGAAGAGGAAAATCCCCAATGACTAAGAGTGCTCCTGGCACATAGTTAGAATGCAAGCACCTGCTAGATGAGTGAAATTAATATCTTAAACAATTTAAATTAATGAATGTGGGTCTCCATCCCAGGTCTTTTGAATTCTCTCAACAATTATTTATTTTTAAAACACTCTTTCTGTCACTGGCATGAGGGGAGGGGTTTGGGATATAACAGTGAATGAGAGGCCGGGCGCGGTGGCTCACGCCTGTAATCCTAGCACTCTGGGAGGTCAAGTCTGGTGGATTGCTCGAGGTCAGGAGTTCGAAATCAGCCTGAGCAAGAGCGAGACCCTGTCTCTACTATAAGTAGAAAGAAATTAATTGGCCAACTAATATATATAGAAAAAAAAATTAGTCGGGCATGGTGGCGCATGCCTGTAGTCCCAGCTACTTGGGAGGCTGAGGCAGCAGGATCGCTTGAGCCCAGGAGTTTGAGGTTGCTGTGAGCTAGGCTGATGCCACGGCACTCACTTCTAGCCTGGGCAGCAAAGCGAGACTCTGTCTCAAAAAAAAAACAAAAACAAAAAAAACAGTGAATGAGAGACTGTTGTTACCCAGGAGAAGCTGGCATGATAAAACTATGGACTGATATTCCTTAGCAAAGATGAAAAAATATTTTACAAATTTTTAGCAAATTAATTCAGCAATATAAAAAAGGGATATAAAGCAATAAAAAAAATATCTTGACCAAGTGGAATTTTTTATAGGAGCTCGAGGTTGTTTTAACATTCATAAATACATCAATGCACTTTACCACATTAACAGAATACAGAAGAAAAACTATACTGCTTTCTTAACAGATACAGAATAAGTAGTAGACAACATTCAACTCTCATTCATGATTTAAAAAAACAAACAGAACAAAAACTCTCAGCAAACTGGGAATACAAGGGAACTGACTCAATTTAATGGAATCTTAAAGGGAAAAAATATAATATCATAATTAATGATGAAATATTGGATGTTTTCTCTCAAGGATCTGAAAAGGCAAGGGTGACTATGCTCACCTCTTCTACTCAACATTTCTGAAGGTCCTACTCATTACAACAAGGAAATATAAGAGAAAGAAAGAAAAGGGAGAGGGAGAAAAAAGGAGCATAAAGATTAAAAATAGGTAAAATTGGCGGGGCATGGTGGCTTAATCCCAGCACTTTGAGAATCTGAGGTGGGAGGACTGCTTGAGGCCAAGAGTTCAAGAAATAAGTAATATTATTTTTATTCAAGATTAACATGATTATGTACATGAAAAGTCCAAAGGAATTTACCTAGAACTAATAAGTAAAATTCTGGTAAGTTTCAGGATACAATATACCCCCCAAATCAGTTATTTTCTTAATCTTAGCAACCAACAATTGAAAAAGAACATTTAAAAATGCTATTTATAATAGCATCAAAAACCTAGAATAAATTTGACAAAATATTTGCAAGGTATCTATACTGAAAACTACCAAACAGTGCTGAGATAAATTAAACATAATCTAAATAAATAGAAAGAGGTACAATACTCATGGACTAGAAGCTTCAATATTTCTAAGATGCCAGTTTTTCTACAATTGAGCTACAGATTCAATAAAACACAATAAAAATTCTGGCAACTTTTTTTTGTAGATATGTACCAGCTAATTCTAAGTTCATATGGAAATGAAAAGACATAGATTAGTCAAGACAATAATAAGAAGACTTATATTACCTGATTTCAAGGCATACTATAAAATTATAATAATTAAGAAACCATTACAGCAGCACCAGGATAAATATTTCAATGGAACAGAATATAGAGTCCAAGACTATAACTACACATATATGATAACTGATTTGCAATAGAGGCAGCATATCAATTTGTTGGGGAAAGGGAAGTCTGTTTCAATAAAGACACTGGAACAAATGGATAGCCATATGGAAAAGTGAACCCTGACCTTCACCTGATTCCACAGACAAAAATGAGATGAATTATAGACCAAACTATTAAAGTAAAAACCATAAAGGTCCTGGAAAAAAACATGAGAAAATCTTCACAACCTTAGGATAGGCAAGGATTTCTTAAGATACAAAGGGCACCAATCATAAAAGAAAGAAGATAAAATGGACTTTATCAAAATATTAGAAATGCTGCTCATCATGAAAGTGAAAAAGGCAAGTTATACAAATTCACCAAATAGGACATAACCCCCAGGTCCATCCATAGGAGGATGAATCAAAAATTTGTGGTATGTCCACCCAGCCTGTAATCCCAGCACTCTGGGAAGCCAAGGTGGGAGGATCTCTTGAGCTCAGGAGTTCGAGACCAGCAAGAGGCAGACACCGTCTCTACTAAAAATAGAAAAATTAGCTGGGCGTGGTGGTGTGCACCTGTAATCCCAGCTACTCGGGAGGCTGAGGCAGGAGAATTACTTGAACCGAGGACTTTGAAATTGCTGTAAGCTAGGCTGATGCCAGAGCAAGACTCCATCAATAAAGGAAGGAATGAATAAATAAATAAAAATGGTATTGAAAACCAATAATTTTCCTGGTGGAAAACTAACAATACTAGTTATATTATTTTCCTGAAAGACCAAGGAGTCTATAGACTAAAAATTTTATAAAGTGTTATGAAAAGTAAATTGTGTTAGATTCTAATGACTTCTTGAGTGGTCTGTGGTCCCGGGTGGGACGTGGGAAGGGGAAGGGAGGACGCTGTCCTCCGGGAACATACAACTCCACGTGGCACTGGCAGGGCGGCACTCTCTGAGGAGAGGCTACTGGGGAAATGGCTCATTGAACATGGGCTAGATCCTTCAAAAGTGGAAGAAACTCTATTTTACAGAGCTTGGGCTATTTTTCCCCCCATTTATTTTTTACTTGTATATACTCATGGGGGTACAAGTGCAATTTTGTTACACTGATATGTTGCACTGTGGTTAAGTCAGGGCCTTCCGCACACACATCACCGTAGTGACACACGTGGGGTTAGACACAGAAAAGAATTTCCAAATAGTGAGAAATTCCCCTTAGGGAACAAAATGGCATCTCCATGAATGTA